AAGGGTTAGTGTTAGGTTCAGTGTGGGATAGTGATATCTTATGTAAAAAGCCGGAAATTTCTGCTTAATATTACATAAAGTCTTCAAAAAATCCATTATTACTGGGTTTTTGGCAAAGGAATGTTTTCGGAATAAAACTCCACATTTCCAAGTTTGTCGACAGCGATTCGTGCTCGATTTGAGATCAATTTGTTTTTTGCGCCTTTTTTCGATTTACGCGCCCAACGCCGTCGACCTTAGCCACCGTATTAAATTATTTTAACAAAATGTTTCGAATTTTTTTTCTTATTTTCACAAAATCCTTTTTTTGGTAAATCTGTTTTATCAACATAAAAAAACCCTTCTCACGGTTACCGTATGAAAACAACCTACGGCTTGTTGTATCCAAGACCACACCAAGGAAAATCCTGCCGAAAAGGTTTCAGTTAATAGTTTAAAAAAAGATCATCGTAAGTAAGAAATGGTTGTTCTTGTGCGGGGTATCTGAAGTGAATACCGGATTCACGACAGGATGTCGGTTATTAACCTTCCGTATCGTAGTCACTGAAGAGGCCACAGAAAAAATTCAATTGAAGTCGCAGGAGTTTTTATCATGATTAAGCTCTGCCACACCAGAATTTGAGAGTTCATCTCATGTCGTGGGTCACCATTTATCGCGTCTGTAGTCTTGGCGTGATGAGTCAACGATCACGGGTTCCCAAAGTGGCGCTAGGGTCCACTACAAGTTTATTATATATGCTATTTTCTGATTTTCTAAATAGCTAGATGTTGTGGTTTTCCCAGCCAGATCTGTGCTTCACCGGCCTGAGAATCAAGCTGCAATGGCTTTTTTTAATGTGGCCCTTAGGGTATTCTCGCCGATTTTAAATTCAATACATCCTAATTGGGGCCCAGCCCATTTAGAATTAGGAGGTAGGTCACTTGTGTCATGAGTAAACAGGTCACTTAGTCCTGTCGGTCACGGCGCCTGCTCCCATTCTCAGTCATCTTGAATTCATCTGGCCATTACGGCAAGTTGAATGTGGGAGAACGAGTGAAGTAGGTGCGGCACAAGTCTGTTTCACCATAAATGAATTCACGTATGAGTCAGCCCCTGGGGCACACGGTGACAGGCGAGCAGTGTTATAATGATCTCTCTAACCTAATGACCAAACATCGTATAGGTACATACAGTAGATTGCCAAACTGATGAAATACAAGAATTTTTACAAGAAAATCCCTGAAACGTAAAAATAGGCCAAGCTACATTCTTAAAAGTCTTAACATATAAAAGTAAACATCCCAATAAAAAAGAGGACATACGTGGTTTATCAATTAATATTAAGTGGTAATGAAAAGTCACGGATGGGACACGGATGTTCGCTTGTATTGGCAAATGAAAAGTCCGTTTTTTAAAATAACAGAAAATTTTGAAAAAAAGTGGGAAATGGGAATTACTAAGAAAACTTAACTTTTAAATGTAGAGATAGTCTGTTCATGCAAAAAAACCGAGTGAATAAGGCAGCACAAGTCGAATTACGTTTGAAAATAATCCTTTTTTGAAGTTTTCGGACATCTATGCTGATGTATTACGCGCAATGTAAAGAAGGGTTGTTACAGAATAGCCCAAAGTTCTAATTCGTAATAGAAGATGATTTCCCAAAACCCTCCAGTCGTTTCTTTGTTTCTACATCCTTTGAGATACGCTGAACTAAGCCAAACCGATTCCCACTTGATTGCGCCGATTGGATAGGCACTGTAGTAAGTGATTACATAAGCTCAGGTGTGGACATGCCCATCCCTGACTAATAATTTTAAATTAATTTGTAATGTGCAATCGTAAACGTACCCTCTTGTGTGTATTGAGAGGAATTTCCTTCCGTCACATTCCTTCGCAATTATTTCGGGAGTTCCAATGCGACGAGCTTGAGATCGCTCTTGAAATTCTCCATAACACTTTACGAATTTCATTGTTTTTATTCGTTTGTTCCTATATACCGACATTGTTCTACCTGTTTACCAAAAAACTTTAAAAGAAGATATTACTTAAGAGAATTTACCTAAATATGAGCTTTTAAACATGCCTTCTTATGCAGCTGTCTGTTTGGGTCACAGTTTTAGAATCACCAAAACACGTCAGTTCACTGCCGAGAAAAATGAACGTCCATAACAAAAGTCGCAAATGAATACATCTAACATTAATTTAAAAAAACTTCCAAGAACAAGAAACCTCTTGAAAAAGCGCTTTAATTTGATACTTCGGCGTCGAATATCTGTGCGCTTTATCTTTTTTGAAGATAAAGTCGAGATCGAATGGGAAATTTCGACTTGTCTTTTTGATTTCCCTTAAAATTTGGGATGAACTTTCTGCTGAAAATGAAAGAACTAACTTTTCTATGTATACCTGGGCAGCTTTCCGTATATTTCGTTACTTCTAGGCCCCGTTTTTGATTTCAAAAGCACATCAGAGTGACATAATAGATGCTTCGATTATACTAAAACTTATAACCTTCTGCCTGTTCCATTTTGAGATGTTATATTCACTGATTCTCTTCTTTATATTGAAAATGTTTAAACGGGGTTCCTTTACGCCGTTACGGAGAAAACTTATGACATTTCGCGATACCTCATATAATGGTTAATTATGGATTCTTATTTTGGCGCAGTAAAACAACTTATGGTCTCATGAGTTTATTCCTTATCTTTATGGCACAAAACTTAATAGATCTGTAAAACAAAATTTTGTCAACTGACCTCACTCTTCTTTTCCCAGCAATAATGCATTATCTCATACAAACACTTACCTTAATTTTTTGAAGGCAAAACAAAATTATCTGTCCTTTGAATATATATACTTAAGAACTGACTGATGTTTATTAATGTTCTTCTATAGCCAACACGCACAAACAAGAACTATTGGTCAGCAGCGCTTAATAGCGTAGGAAATTCTCTGGATATCAACAAACGCTTAATTCGGGCCAATTCTGCCCCTATTTGCTCCCAGTATACCAATCTGAAGTGAAGTATTTTCTAGTAAACAGCTTTTTATGCCTCAATTCAACTAAATGAACAAAATAAACAACCTCAAATATGAATTTGAAAATAGGCATCCCGAGAAATATAATTCGATGGATAAATTTTCGAACCTCAAATATGTGCTAAATCCCCCACTCAAATGTTGACCTTCACATTTCATCAAACATGCAATCTACTGTAGGTTTTACATACAACATCCTTTTGTATATTTGTTGTGGAAACATGACAGGTGGTTCCGGCTCCCAAGCATGCACTACCTACGCAACAGCTTTGCCGTCGTGTGGCTTCCCGATGGCCGTGTCTTTGCTATCGGCGGATTCTACGGAACTTGTAGAGCGCGAAACAACATGACGGCGTCTGTTGAGGTATATGATCGAGCCTGGGAACCAGCTTCTGACCCAACTCGCCCTTACAGCAAATGGAGACAGGTTACGCCAATGACGATTCCCCGGGGCTGCCATGCTGCCATCTGTGTGGAGAATAGGATCATCGTAGCTGGAGGAGCATTCGGGGAACCGGAATCTAAGACGGGCCTAGATGCGGTGGAACTGTACGAACCTCCCTCTGAAGCCTGTCCGATGGGTCAGTGGACTAAGATCGCGGCTATGAAGGAAAAGATTGCGCTTCGTTCCGCAGTCTTCCTCGCGGGTGCCATCTATGCCTTCGGTAAGCTCTGGAGATGTCCGTATTACTACACGTTTTATTCCCAAAATGTGGTGATAGAAGACGACAGCCGGGTGATTTAGGGCTATGCACCTATCTTTTCACGGTAACTTCGTTATTCCCAATGTTGTTTAACTTGACTGATTTGCAGTTAGCCATTCTAGCTTAAGATCCTTGCTTCGCACTTTTTAGGTTAGGGATTACTTTTATAACTCTCCAGAGAGGACATTGGAATAGGAATTCCCCGACCAGGTAATAAAGGCGGCCCTGCGTATAATGTCAGGAAGGGTTAATAATCCTGAGTCCTAGCCCTAACAATAGCCCTAGCTAAAACCTAAACTCTAGCTGTAATCTTGAATCCAACCTTACCCTAAACCTAAACCCTACAGTTAACACTAATCCTAAACTTATTCGTCACTTACCTCACTCTCTCCCCCACCGCCAGCAACAGGCCACCGCCTAGCTGATCGGTCACCTGAGATGGGATGTGCGCATTGGCTGACGGTGCCGGCGCAGTGGGGTTTTTGCCAAATACTTTCTGAAGGCCTAGGTAGACAGCTACAGTAAAACCGTAACAGTGATGTTTTGTCTATGGAAATCCTGGGGCTCAAAGTACCTTTGTCCGAATAAAAGTAATTTTGACAGTTGGTAATCCATCTATAAGCTGTGTGTAATCGGCCCCGTTATAAAGTTCTATAGATTAAGTATTACTTCCTGGAGTATAGTCCAAGAG